GCTCAGGTAGCGACACCTATTGTTATGGACTTTTTAAGAAAATGTTTTCATGAGGACCTGTCTTACAAGAGGCGATTGGAAGAGCTTGGCTTCTTTAGCCAGGCTGAGAGGGGGCCTGTAAATACGTAGTGGTGGAGGGAGGGTGAAAACCTATTTAAGGTGAAGGACAGTGTTGGCAGAAGAACAAATGGATATCAACTGGCCATGAGCAAACCCAGGCTGGCAGTTAGAAGACGGTTTCTAACTTTCAGAGGGGTGAGGTTCTGGAACAGCCTCCCAACAGGAGTTGTAGGGGGCAAACAACTTAATTAGTTTTAATAGACGGCTGGACAAATTTATGGGGGTGATTATATGACAGGGTTGCCTGGGTGGAGGGAAGGGCTCAGCAGCCCTGGGGCTTGTTTCCAGTTTGTCTTATGTTTCTAAAAGCTGATAGCTCAGGGTTTCAGCTGGCCACCTGCAGGAGTCAGGAAGGGATTCCCTTCCCCTCAATGCATTCTGGGTTGTTTTTTATTCATTTCCTCCTTCTGAAGCATCAGGGATGGCCACAGCTGGAGATGGGACATTAGACAGGGAGGGCCAGGGCTCTGAGGTGGCACCAAGCATTCTCTTGCTCAGGTGCTTGGCTGGCTGGTTCTTGGTCACATGCTTAGGGTCTAACTGATCACCCTGTATGCGGTCGAGATGGAATATTCCCCAAGGTCAGATTGGCAGTGACCTTGGGGGTTTTTATGGTCCTCTGCAGTGTGTGAGTGCAGGTCACTTGCCAGGATTATCTGGGTGTTTCTCACTTACTCTTTTTCCTCCCACTGCAGGGGCCTCAATTTCTGGTACACCTCAGCCCCTTAAAATCTCTGCCTATGGCACATAATAGTCTAGTCTTTTGTGGGCTGTAATACTTTGGTCTAATTTTGGTAGCTGGGTTTAGTGTATGGGTGCTGGATGGTGTTGGTGGCCTGCGATATACAGGAGGTCCGACTAGAGGATCTGGTGGTCCTTTCTCGCCTTAAACTCACTTACTCTAAATTTAACCTCCCTTCAGATCCCTGTAGCATATAAATTACTGAATTCTCAGACTTGAAAACTTTCTCCTCTCCAGATTCTAGCAAAATGCATAGCATAGCCTACTTCTGAAGTTTATTAATAATATTATTTACAAAAATTTCCTTCCACAACGCAGTGACCATTGAATGTATTTCTGTTGTGTCCACTCAGCACACCATCACAATAACTCAACCACACTAATATGCTAATAGTATCTCTAACACACTTTCCACAAGAACTGACAATTGCTGCAGCATACAACCTAAACTCCAACCTCTTAATTTGTTTAGTTACATAATGCATTGTAAATATATGTATGATGCATGTATGGATTTCAGTATTTGCAGACAGTTTTGTTTACTGCTCAATAAATCAGTTTTTTATACATAATGTGATCAAATTCAGATTTATATTTGGTTGGACAACTTTATAATGAAGATATTTATATTTTAAATTTAAAGAATAGTGCTCATCTTTTAAAAAGATTGTTTCCCTTCCACCTGTCCACTCGCCCTTAAATTATCAGGCATTTTCAGCATAATAGATTTGAGATCAGGGTGGAACAGTTTAAATCAAGGTGATTAAATCACTGATTTAAATCATGCTGAGACATTGTAAAATCGATTTAGAAAATTTGTGTTATTGTAGCTTCAGATTAAAATGTAATGAATTATTGTTTTTGAAATATCATATTTGGTAGGACATCTTATGTGAATTTCACAAAAGTGCTGTAGGCAAAATACAAAATATGGCAAATGCCTGATCCTGCAAACACTTAAGCAGATATGTAACTTTACACACATGAATAGTCCATTAATTTAAATGGGATGACTTGTGTGCTTAACATCAGGGTCTATTGTTGTATTTTTATTAACATAAGAACGTAAAAAGAATGGCCCTACTGGGTCAGACCAAAGGTCCATCAAGCGCAGTATTCTGTCTTCCGACAGTTGCCAGTGCCTGATGCCCCAGAGGGAATGAACAGAACAGGTAATAACCAAGTGATCCATCCCCTGTCGCTCATTCCCAGCTCCTGGCAAACAGAGGCTAGGGACACCATCCCTGCCCACCCTGGTTAATAGCCATTGATGAATCTATCCCCCATGAATTTATCTAGTTCTTTTTTTAACCCTGTTATGGTCTTGGCCTTCACAACATCCTCTGGCAAGGAGTTCCACAGGTTGACTGTGCATTGTATGAAGAAATACTTCCTTTTATTTGTCTTAAACCTGCTACCTATTAATTTTATTTGGTAACCCCTAATTCTTGTGTTATGAGAAGTAGTAAACAACACTTCTTTATCTATTTTCTCTACATCAGTCATGATTTTATAGACCTGAATCATATCTCCCCTTAGCCAACTCTTTTCCAAGCTGAAAAGTCCCAGTCTTATTAATCTCTCCTCATATGGAAGCCGTTCCATACCCCTAATCATTTTTGTTGCCCTTTTTGAACCTTTTCCAATTCCTATATATCTTTTTTGAGATGGGGCAACCACATCTGCACGCAGTATTCAAGATGTGGGCGTACTATGTATTTATATAGAAACAACATGATATTTTCTGTCCTATTATCTTTCTTAATTATTCCCAGCATTCTGTTTGCTTTTTTGACAGCCACTGCACATTGAGTGGATGTTTTTAGAGAACTATCCACAATGAATTCAACATCTCTTTCTTGAGTGGTAACAGCTAATTTAGATCCCATCATTTTACATGTATAGTTGGGATTATGCTTTCCAATGTGCAATACTTTGCATTTAACAACATTAAATTTCATCTGCCATTTTGTTGCCCAGTCACCCAGTTTTGAGAAATCCTTTTCTAGCTCTTCGCAGTCTGCCTGGGTCTTAACTATCTTTAGTAATTTTGTATCATCTGCAAATTTTGCACCTCACTGTTTACCCCTTTTCCCAGATCATTTATGAATATGTTGAATAGGACTGGTCCCAGAACAGACCCCTGGGGGACACCACTATTTACCTTTCTCCATTCTGAAAGTTGACCATTGATACCTACCCTTTGTTTCCAATCTCTTAACCATTTACCAATCCATGAGAGCTCCTTCCCTCTTATCCCATGACAGATTACTCTGCGTAAGAGCCTTTGGTGAGGGACCTTGTCAAAGGCTTTCTGAAAATCTAAGTACACTATATCCACTGGATCCCCTTGGTCCACATGCTTGGTCTTGGTCTAACATCTTTCATCTTACTGACACAAAATCCTTGTCACTTCAAACACAATTGCTTCAGTGTTAACAACATGTAAATAACTTCTTTGTTTAGACCTTCAAGATATTAACAAAGTTAACAGGAACTTTTTTATACACAAAGGCCAACATGTGTTTAAAAATTGGAACTTAAAGTTAAGCACCTATGGATGGGATTTTCAAAAGCACTGGTCTACTATAGGAACACAAGCCATGGCTTCAAACCTGATAGAAGAGTATAGCCCGGTCAAAGCTTTTTTGATGTGTAGAAGTTCCATACATTGGAAAGTGCTATTGGTTGAAAATGTAACACAGGCTATTGACTCATCAGTTTTGTGTGTAAGTTTGTGGCGATCTCACAATAAGGATGTTATTGAGGAGCTGGGTTTCTCATTTTCAATATAGATGAATATTTTAAGTGTGAGAATGGCTAAACAACAACTGTGAAACTGATTCTACCACTTGGGAAACTAATTAAAGGAACAAGTGCAGAAGATCCACTTTAGTGATCTAAGACTAGAAAGTGGGAAGAAAGAACTAGCAACACGGAAATAAAATAAATCCAGTTTAAACGTGATTTAATATTTTAAAAATCTTGTTTTTAATCCACTCTGAGATTAACATTTTTAGAAGAGGTTGTGCAGGGATTATAGTACTGTAATACAAAATTACTCAACATAGTTAAGTCCAAAGCAGACTGTGAAGGGCTACAAAGGATCTCACAAAACTGGGTGGCTGGGCAAGAAAATGGCAGATGAAATTCAATGTTGATAAAAACAAGGTAATGAACATTGGAAAACATAATTCCAACTAGACATGTAAAATGATGGGGTCTAAATTAGCTGTTGCCACTCAAGAAAAAGACGTTGGAGTCACTGTGGATAGTTCTCTACAAAACATACACTCAATGTGCAGTGGCAGTCAAAAACGCTAACCATGTTAGGAACCATTAGGAAAGGAATAGATAATACAGAAAATATAATGCCTCTATATAAATCTATGGTACGCCCACACCTTGAATACTGCCTGCAGTTCTGGTTGCTCTATTTCAAAAAAATTATATTAGAATTCCAAAAGGTACAATGAAGGGCAACAAAAATGATTAGGGGTATGGAACAATTTCCATAGGAGGAGAGATTAACAAGACTGGGGTTTTTCATCTTGGAAAAGAGATGACTAGGATGGGATCTGATACAGGTCTATAAAATTTTGCCTGGTGGGTAGAAAGTGAATAAGGAAATTTTACTTATTCCTTCATAGAACACAAAAATGAGGGGTCACCTAATGAAATTAATAAGCAGAAGGTTTAAAACACGCAAAAGGAAGTACTTCTTCACACAACACACAGTTAACCTTTGGAACTCATTGCCAGGGGATGTTGTTAAGGCCAAGGCTATAACAGGGTTAAAAAAAGAACTAGATACGTTCATGGAGGATACATCCAGCAATGGCTGTTAACCATGATGGTCAGGAATGCAGCCCCATGCTCTGAGTGTCCTGTTTGCCAGAAGCTGGGAATGGACAACAGGGGATAGATGACTCAATGACTGCCTGTTCTGTTCATTTCCTCTGAAGCATCTGGCATTGGCCACTGTTGGAAGACAGGATACTGGTCTAGATAGACCACTGATGTGACCCAGTAGGGCCATTCCCATGTTCTGTAATAAAATGCCACGGTTCATGCAATTTTAGCTGTTGATAAAACAAACCACTTACCTTTTGTGACCTCCTTCTTCTTTAAATTTCAGGTTTACTTCTATGAATACAATATACACTCAAAACCAGTGGATAAGCCTAGGCAATGCCTTCCATATGCAATAATAACAGTAAGATTTATTGGTCAGAAGGTGGAAACTGACCCTCTTATCTCATCTGTGAGGTTTCTGTCTAAAGGATTTCCTAAGTATTCTGGTAAGATTCATTTAGCTACATGTAGTAACTGTAGGATGTTAAAAGGGATACGTGCATTGGGGAGCTAATTCTCTAAACAGCTGTATGTTATCATTGTTCTCCCTCTACAATGGATATCTTACCCCCTAATGTCAAAATTATGCTTTGCAGTACTCCATGCTACCACTTCAAAATGGAACAATATATTTCTCCCAGTTCCAGCTACTGATGGCAGCAAGTATGCAGAGGAGAAGGGAGTGCTTCCCTTCAGGTTCTGGGAGTGTTGCTGCATGTGTTATCCAGGGCAGTTGCCTAATTCTGAGAGGAGTGCTCAGCCTTAGTATTCCACTGTTCCTGCACAAGACAGGCCAGGATTTTGCCTTCATACTTAAGTATTGATTGCCAGAGGAAATCTATTCCAAGAGCTTTAGCTACAAATAAGTTAACTTATTTTTTATTGCTTTTATCATAGCAAATATCTAATATTGATGTATTGTCTTTATAAGAGAAGGTGAGGCTTATTCTTTAACAGCTTGGATAGAAGTTAGAGATAGACTTCTAAGAGTTAAAAATTCAAGTTGCTGTTCAAATAAATGGAAGCGTCATCAAATATTTAATGCTAAATATCCAAAATATGTAAAAGAACTTAAAGTTAAGTGAAATGGCACTTGCTGTAAAGAATGGAAGACACTGAGGTGAAAACTGTTTCTGAAATTTGGAGGTTCATGTAAAAAGATTGTTTCCAAAAGTACGTTTCCCCTGGGGGATTCTCCTGTGCCTGTCATGTATTTTGGCTGATTTCCTTTATGATTCTCTGATGAGATACTTTTGTGTTACTGCTCCTGCCTTAGTCAGGATTATCTTTCACTTGGATCTTAGACCCTGGGCTCTGGAATTACTGTGGAAAATAATGAAAAGGCAAAAGAAAAGAAGCCAGTTGAGATGCCTTTCCTTCCATGGGTTGATGCTACCAGGGGCTAGATTAGGTGCATAACTGCCACTCACAAAGCTCCCACTCAACTACCTGAACCCTGGTAGGCACCTAAACTCGCTTGGCATCTTAATTTTCATAGTGAAAATCCCCTAAATGCCTGTGTTTTCAGCCTTTGTGTGCGCACTGCCGCCCCAGGCCAGGCCTCTGGATGCTGACGGGCCAGAGTGATGTGTGAGCCCAACTCACCTGTGGAGCCCGATCCAGTCAGTGTGCTCAGACCTTGCCTACTGGAGCGGGAAGCCCCTACAGAGAAGCTTACACTAAACGTCAGGAGACGAGGAGGATGACTTTCCTCATAATTCATAGCCCAGTGGCTAGGGTATTCACCTGAGATGTAGGAGACCTCCCCCGTTTAAGTCCCCAGCTGCACGTATGGAGAGACTGAGGGGGTGCCACATCAAAATACCCCATAACCCAGTGGTTAGAGCTCTCCCCTGTCAGGTGGAAGATTCTTGTTCAAATCCCTTCTCAGGTGGAGGGGGAACTTGAATCGTGGTTCTCCCACATCTCAGGTGAGTACCTAACCACTGGCCTAAAAATAATGAGGGACCCTCCTTCTCCTCCAACAGTGTGGGCACCTCACACCAAGAGAGGGTTTGCAACTGAGAGTCCCAAGCAGAGGGAGGCACTACCCTGCAGCCTGGACTTAGGTACCTCTCTTTGTTAGTGGGGTGAGGGGTTGGCATCTCCCACTGGCTGTCTTAGGCAAGGAGCTGCCAAATGTGCTGGCCTTTGTGTATCCGATTCTGAAGCACCTATCTCTCCCCATTCATTGTAAACGGAGCCTAGTCCTGCACTCAGGCTTTGTGAATCCCTGTGATTTTTTAGGTGACTGAAAGTTAGGCATGGCAATAGTCAGCATCATTGCACCTAAGTTTCTTTATGAATCGAACCCAAAGTGTGGAGGGGATCCATCTTTGGTTAAGTATTGAGTCACTGATATTTGATGTTGAATCCTTTATTGTTTTATAGAAGAGATTAACAAAAACTCTGACCAAAGCAGTAACTGCTTTTGGAGTTGGATGCATAACTGTATTTGGTAGTTGCAAGACTGCAATTGTCAAGAAATTACTTGCTTAAGTGTACAACATAAGAAGCAAAGTGCACCATTAGACACCATTGCAACTGATGGGAGTTGTGCATGCATATGCGAGGGCAGAATTTGTCCCCAAATGTAATGGAGGTGCACCTTTTTGCCTATAATTTTAAGCTAGAGACTTATGTGGTGGTGAGGAGAAGGGGACTGAACTGGGTTCACTGATCAGTGACTGGTGACAATTGAGGACTTCTCTCCAGCAGGACTGCAAGCACTGTGGTTTTTTTTTTAAAGACTTAAAGGATATAGAAAGCATATTTAATGTATATAAAGGTGATCTTCAGTTCTTTTAAAAATAGTATTGTATGCTCCATACTCAATAACCGAGTAAGAGGACATTCAATATGTTAACATAAATTTGCCCATTTTCTTTCTTCAGGATTATTAGATGCACACTCACCACAGATTCCTAGCTCCTGCTGATCATGATCTCTGTCTGCAATGCACCTATTTAGTGGTACCTTAATGCAGACAAAAATTACATATGTGAACAAGTAGTCCACAGGATTGCATTCTGCTTCCCTTTCTCGTAAAAGCTGTTGAGGTGCACTTATATTACCTGAGGCTATTTTTAAATCTTTCTTCTTCCTCTTTTGTAATTTCATTTCTGTCCATAGCAAACTGGTCCTGGTTTTGTATTGGGAAAAACCCTGTCAAAAAGATAAGTCTTACATCTTGATCTAAATGTGATGAGATCCATTGTCAGTCTATGTCTGGTGGGAGTTCTACCACAATGGGCTGGCTGCTTGGGTGTCTCTGACCACCGCTTCCACATATCAAGCTTATCACTAATAACTTGGGGGGAGGGATAGCTCAGTGGTTTGAGCATTGGCCTGCTAAACCCAGGGTTGTGAGTTCAATCCTTGAGGGGGCCATTTAGGGATCTGGGGCAAAAATTGGGGATTGGTCCTGCTTTGAGCAGGGGGTTGGACTAGATGACCTCCTGAGGTCCCTTCCAACCTTGATATTCTATGATTCTGTGAACTCCATTGGTCTAGTTGAGTGCAACCAGGTCATTGTAATGGAGAGAGCAAAGTGATCCCAGGGAGAGGCAGATTCCAAAAACCCTTAAAGCTCAGGGTTTTGATTTAGATCTAGCAATTGATAGGGAGCCATTGCAGGATGCAGGGAGTCAGGATGTGTTCCCATTGTCTTGTGGTGCTCTGGGGACTGGCTGCAGCAGTACTCTACGTGCTATGGTGGTGACTCTTGAAGAGTAATGGAGGCCAGAGCAACCTGCAGGGATAAACGTAACAAAGTGTATGTGGTTAATAGCTTGGATTTGATTCTTAAATAACATACGTATACGTGTAAATCAGGAGTAGCTCCATTAAAGTCAATAGAATTACAATGTTATTTAACTGATGTAAGTGGGAATTGGGCCAATGGTATTCTTTTAAATTTTTAATATTTTTATTTTATACTTACTTATGGCAGTAGCTCTCAATCTTCCCAGACTATTATATCCCTTTCAGGAGTCTGGTTTGTCTTGCGTACCCCAAGTTTCCACTCACTTAAAACTACATGCTTACAAAATCAGACATAAAAAACCAAAAGTGTCACAGCACACTATTATTGAAAAATTGCGGACTTTCTCACTTTTACCATAAAATAATAAAATAAACCAATTGGAATATAAATACTGTACTTACATTTCTGTGTATAGTATATAGAGCAGTATAAACAAGTCATTGTATAAAACATTAGTTTGTACTGACTTTACTAGTGCTTTTTATGTAGCCTGCTGTAAAACTAGGCAAATATCTAGATGAATTGATATGCCCCCTGGAAGACCTTTGCATTCCTTCAGGGGTACACGTACCCCTTGTGGAGAACCACTGCCTTATGGAACATGAAGTAAGAATATTATCACTGTTTTTTTAATCTGGGGACTACCATACTTCTGTAGGGAACTCCTTCTCCAGTGCTCTCCACTGATGGTGGGTTTGTCACTGTCAGAGCAGGACCTTCTGGAGCATCATTGTGAGTAGGTGTAATCTGTGGCCTGTGGTTAGTCTGGCCTTCACAGACCAGTAGAAAGAAAAACGTTTTAAAATTGCTGATGTACTTAATACCCCTCTGAAATCTCTTTGCTGAGTGTGCACCATATTGTGTTAATGTTGTTCACTTTATGCTTTTTCACATTTGTTAGGTCACTTTACAATCTTAACAAGAGTTTTAGCTTCCTTAGTAGTGCCCCTCTGTTCAGCTCAACAATTTTGCTTTGCCCCCAGTAAGAAATGTTTGGCTGTAGATAGAAGCGGAAGCAGAACTGCTATCTGACATTTTGCAAAACAGAAGGGTTTTTTTCTGTGATTTGGCAGGGATGGAGTGTTTTTTGCTGAGTCAGGGGACTGTCATTTACAGAAAACTCTGACTCTACTTTAAAGAAGAATAAGAGGAGTAACTCTGGACCGCGGTTTTGGACATGAGAACAATATAATCATTATCCAGTAGGATTTGTATTTTGGATAGCTTCTTTCATACAAACTATATTCCAGAATGCCCTGCAGAGTTAAATAATGTGTAGAGTTAATAAATAAACAGGGTGAGAGAAATTGGGATACTAGAGGAACAGGAGAAAAGAGAGGTTTTCAGATGGGATTTGATGGTGCATCACTGAGGTGGAGAGATGCAGTAAGGTTGTTTTCAGTGGCATGTGCTGCGGTGGCTTTTGCCCCAATAGCAGAGATACTGTATGAAGGGTTATAATAAAATAGGCGAGGAAAGTGTGAATGTACAGAACTAGCTTCCATCCGCTCGTAACCTGTGGTATGCATCTTAAACTGAGTTGCAATTTGTTCAATGAGTCTCCCTCAAAAAATCTCCTGAAGGATGTTAAACAGTAGCTACTAAAGTTAGACATTTTTAAATAAGCCGCTGCAGATAACTTACATCCAAGCTTTATAATAAAGAGCTGAATGAGGAGTT